ACTAAGCAGTACACTCCTACACTACTCCACTGTATGAATGTACTGCTTAGTGGGGAAAACTGTTTGTTTGTGACTCCTCAGACTGATGAAGCCCTTTGAATAGAGGGTGAAACGCCTTTCAACAACAAAAAAAGAAACTATTCAGATGACCTGACTGAACATTGTTGGATTTTTTTACCTGGATGATTCTGCATGAACTTTGACATTCACAATATTGTATTTTAAAATTTTCTGTGTTTCGTTTTGCAACATAAGTCTACTATTTTGGCTCTTAAGTTCAATTTTGGCATTTTTTACTTAAAAACATTAATTAAGTAGATGGGTGATATGACATAAATAGCATCCTTCATACCCCACTTAAACCATCTGTCTTCTCTGTCCAGATATTGTATTTATGTCTATTTGTCCTCTGTATTTTGGACAGAGAATTCATATGATTTGAAAGGGGTGTGAAAGAAACCATCCATCCATTATTTTTTACCCGCTTTGTCCTTTTCGGATCGCGGGGGTCACTGATGTCCATATCCAGCTATCACTGTGCGAGAGGCGGGGGACACCCTGGACGGGTAGCAAGTCCATCACGGGGACACATAGAGACAAATGAGACAAACAACCATTCACTCTCTCACTCACATCTAGGGACAATTTAGAGTTACCAATCAGCCTAACGTGCATGTTTTTAGTCTGGGAGGAGACCAGAGTACCTGAAGAAAACCAAACATGCACAGAGAGAACATGCAAGCTCCACCCAGAAAGTCCCCGGCCATGATTTGAACTGGGACAACCTGCTCGCTGAGAGGCGACAGCTCTACCAACTGCACCAACATGTTACTGTGAAAGAAACCATCCATCCATTATCTTTACCCGCTTGTTCCATTTTGGGTCACGGGGGTCGCTGGTGCCCATGTCCAGCAATCACTGTGCCAGGGGCGAGGTACACCCTGGACGGGTCGCAAGTCTATCACAGGGACACATAGAGACAAACAAGACAAACAACCATGCACTCTCACTCACACCTAGGGACAATTTAGAGTTACCAATCAGCCTAACATGCATGTTTTTGGTCTGTGGGAGAAAACTGGAGTACCCGGAGGAAACCCACACATGCACGAAGAGAACATGCAAACTTCACCCAGAAAGGCCCCCCAGCTGGGATTCGATCCAACAATCTTCACGTTGAGAGGCAGCAGCTCTGCGCCACAGTGGCACCAAAATGTCGAAAAAATTTTTTTTTGGTTAAAACATTTTAAGGACTAGCAAATGTTGAACAACTTGTATCTAGCGCTCAAATCAAACCTGGATGTATTTTTTTCTTCAAGCCACTTTGACTACTAGAATGTAGATTTTATAGGATTGGTGTTTGTTACTTTAATCATTTAAAAATAGTCAGGATTGTATGATTAGTGCACTAAGATGATGCTTTTTGCACATCAAGGACTTGTTATGTTGCCCTGTCCCTCTGCAGAGTTTGGTTTTGGCTCCTTTAGGCTGTTATGAATAAGTGAGAGAGACACTCGAAGTGTTGGACTTCCACCTCGCTCACTGCCTCTCCACCTCCCTATATCTCCTCCCTCTATTCTCCTCCCATTTTTTTCTTCAGGGTTTGATACTTGATCTTTTTTAAATGTTGCAATCTGCACTGCATACTGCACTGCTCTCAAACACCTGAACAGAGGAATGAAAGCAGCAGCAAGAAGCGACAGGGTGAAGAGGAGGATGACAGTGAAGCCTGCAGCCATTTGGGATTTAGAAAAATGATTGGATAGACGCTGTAGGATAAGATGACAGGAGAGTGCTTTTGTCCGATACAATCTTTGTAATAGCCTATTTGTTCAGCTGCCACCGAGTTGTACCAGCAGCTTTTTGCAGAGCAGAGGCGTCTTTCAACTTGTTTTACACGATAAACTCAGCATTAGAATAGATTTTGAGCAGTCAAGGTTTTATTATTATTCTTTGACTTGGCCTTCCTACTCTCAGTTGTTGCCTTGACTTCAAGAGCAGGTCAAGGAGGAAATGAATACCTGACTTCTAGGTTAAAGGCTTACTGACGCGCTGGGATGTCGGCTTTTAGGAGGAGCAGGAATTCCAAACCTTCAACAAACTCAGTTTATGAGTTTCAGCCGGTAAGCTTTGCAGTGTGTGAAATGGTGTGTGTTGTGGATTTGAGCCTGCAAAGGACAGTGATTATGTCATGCTACTGCAGCAGAATATATACAGGTCTGTTTCTGGTGGAACCAGTCCAATCCAAATGATTTATATAATTCTTGTTCTTTATAACTTGCTGATATTTGTTGCTGTAACTGAAAAGGCAAAGGCAGCATTGTTTTTGCCATGTGGTTGTGTTTGTGTGTGTGTGTAACAATATATCTCAAGAACCACTGAAATAATTTAAAAGAAATTCTCAGGATATAATCAATGCACATACCATAACAACTAGTTACCTTTTGGCACCAGTCACGTTAAAGATGGCCACCATGTTCAGCTGAGCTTAGAAAAACATAAAAAAATAAGTATAATTAAGTTTTTTAATTTCTTGTGGTAATTGTGCTAAAATTTGATGTGGTTGAAGTTGAGTGATTTACAACAACTTATTTGAATTTATGCAATATGCATACATTTAAAACACCATGTTTTTTTAATGAAACTGTTGGACATTTATATATTTTATTATCATTTTAGTTTAATGCTATGAACAACAGACACAATGCTGCATTAAACGTCCTGAAACCTGCCTTAACATATACAGTATACTAATTTAGTAGTATGTTAATAATTTGGAGTGTTAATTATGCTGCTTTAACAATGGGAAGCTCTCCTTGATCCTCTGTTCTCATCGCCTGCTGTCATCCATCTTTGTTAGTGCATCACCTGTCACTTTGCTGTCTCTGATTTATCTGTCTGTCCGGAGACCTTGTTTACTTGGTAAGACTGGAATTGCTGTATTTCATGAAGCAAACTTTATCACAGTATGAATCAGTGCATGTTTGCACTTTGACCCTGTGCCATCTTCTGTTTCCAAAGTTTGTTTATAGTAAATCAAATTCTCTACATCGACTTGGTCACAGCAGTATGTCTTTACGCAATAGATTTATGTTTATATAAACATATGTTTGCATTGCTTTTGGTAACTTATGCAATACATCAGGGAGTTTCCACGAAGAAAATGAATGAAGTCATTTTTGTTTCTTAGAAGACTGAATGTTAGCATCCGCTCGTTTGTCGTGTTCACGACAAGCTGATTTGAGAACCACAGTAGGAAATTGTTTTGTCATTGCTGCAGCCCATGAGGAGACAAACCATAAAATCAGCAAAGACAGTCACTATTAAAGCTGCCTCTGCACCACAAGGTGTCAGGTGTGCTGTTGCACACATTTTAATTACAAGAAAGAAACAAAACAACAAAAAGCTGGTGCAGAATATTTCTAATGACTGGAGCACTCAATTAAAAGCATTAATCTGATCAAATGAAGTGGAGGCTGAAACTGGATTGTTCCGGCTTCATGCTTTATTCAGATTTTGGCTTATGCCGTTAAATCAACCAGGCAGGAATGATTTTCATTTCAGACAGACGGGTACACACACAAAGACAGACACACACAAAGACAGAAAGCCTTTTGACCTTTAACAAATCCTTTTATTGCAGTTTTTCCAAAACAGATTAAAAAAGAAAATCAGTATTCCCAATAAATTCAAAATTTACACTTATTTATTTTAGGATTTCATAACTAATGTATATTGAGACACATTGCACACTACCCATTTTCCCAAACAGAGACACGATTTTCAATATTAGAAATGATTTTGTAAAAAGCGCTCATGCTTAAAGTGTTGGTGGCTGCACATTTGAGTTCTGAATTAAAAGGTCCTGTTCATTATGTTCCTCCATGTGAACCAAATACCCATATTTGCTTGTCCTATCAAAAAGTTTACCTGACGTTTTTCCATTGTACTGCAGCATATTAGGGACCAAAAACAAATAGTGTGTCAAACACCTGTCCGAGGTCAGTCAACCAACAGCATGAAAGTATGGGGCTTTAAAAGCCACAGATGTTGAGTCTCTTCCCTAAAACAGAAAAAAAAAAAACAGTGATTCCCTGATCTGTGATCGATACGTGCCTCATGCCTGTTCATGGCCACAGGCCCATGCACAACCCTCTACTAGAAGTCCACCTAGCGTTTCTCTGTGGTAGGCTTATACAGGGACCTCCAGCAGTGACTGAGAGAGGACCCAGGCACCAACACACCCCACCACCATGACAATAACCAAGCAGCAATGCTCTGTCCAGGACCTGAGTGAATTCATTCAACCTTTATTTAGACAGGTAAATCCCATTGAACCTCGAGGACTCATTTACAAGAGAGACCTGGTAGATATGCCATGTAAGCTCTTCTTGGGGACTTGAGAAAGTCTGAGGGTGCAGTTATTTGGAGGGGGAGTGGACTTCCTTTATCAACTTATTACTCCTTCACTACTGTGTTATTGGATAAAGATGGAACTGACTTAGGACCACAACAGTCCTTCATGGACTCTCTCTGCAGTTCTGCTCTGAAGGAACTGGAAAGACAACTGGAAACCTCTTCCATCAGTTTGTTAAAGAAATGCAGAGATTTGACTTCTGTTTCCTTTCTCCATCTGGTAGAAGACTTCCATTGTCCCCTGGATCTCAGGTCTGTAATCTTTATAAGCGGAGTTCTGAGGAACACCTGCCTTACACAACTGAAACTGAGTATTCTGCTTAGAATAAGAAGGGTATAAAATGGAGGCTGTTCTCCATCATTCTTGTAGAACACAGAATAGACACCCTTGTTGAATGGAAGACAGTTTTCCACATGTGTAAAACTGACTGATAGAAGTCAGATGCCTGCATTGCCTAAATCTGTAAGACTGATGAAAAACAGGTGCATGTCATAGTTTAAACTTTCTACTCAGTGGAGCACACCAAAGCTACCTCCGTCCAGAGCTGGTTCTCTTGGGAGATGAAGCGTTGTGCTGTCTGTAGGTGAAAGGCTGTGAAACAACTGTGGATGTCTATCAGTCTCTGCCCCCCTTCAGACACAGGTTGAAACAGCACTGCAGGCCTAAACCAATGGAAATATCAAGTTTGTTGACAACCAAAGTCCTCCCCCTGTGTGACAACTGGGGCTGGATCCAAGAACTGGTACAATGAACCAATCTGCCATTGACTTCCTCCACTAACCCTTCCCAGTTCTTTTGTTGATAATCATTAGTCCCCACAACATACTGTTTGACTTTCATCCTATCTGTGTTCCACTGCAACCCAATAGGCAAAACGAGGAGTTGTTGACTGCTACACTTAAGTAACAGACTTTTGGTGCTTTGCCACTGTTTCAACTCTCATCAAGTCTGCACCACACCAGTTAAGGGCCTGCCCATCCCTTACCACCTAACTTTACAAAGCATCATTGTTAACTTCTAAAGAAAAGAGTGAGTTTGTGATTGAAGGAGTGACAGTTTAAAGTAATATTTGTTTAATGCAGCAAGGAAGAGCTTTAAAATAAATAAAAATATCAGGGCCTGACATTACCTGGCAGTCTTGTTCTCTCAGGCAGGTCTCCTCACGTTTGGTGTTTTAATAGTGAAGAAGCAGATAGGTGTGTGTCATCATGGGAGGCTTTCACACAAACACTAAATGTTTGCAGTGGGCGTTCCCAGTTTGTTGAATGAGCTGGGGCAATTTAGCAAAGTGACTAATATAACTGAATCATTCATACATGATGGTTGTTGTTTTGTACTTTTTATTTTGTAACTGTTCAATGGAGGAAAAAAGAAGTGTCTTTTTTTTAATTTTTTTAAGTTGAGTTAGTAGTTTTGTTGTTGTCTCAAACAACTTCATGGCCAGCTTGATTTTTAGAAGAATGAATGTAAGGTGTTAGCAGATTAACTGCAAAAGTATTAAATATTGGTGTTTTCTAGATTGTACTAGGAATA